ATGATGGCGAGCACATGTGCCCTGTAGCAAAAACCTCTCAAAAAAAAAAAAAACACAACTAAACAAATAAAGTAAACAGCAAAAATCAACAACAACAAAACAAAATGAGAGAGGCAACAGAGGCTGAAAGATGCCAAGCCAACAAGGGGACCAGCCTGATGCCTTCTGTAGGACTTCACAGGGTTTATGGACACAGCGTATCGAGCATGAACTTCAAGAAGCTGTTTGCCAACCACAGCAGTCAGAAGCCACGGATACCTTTATGTCCTCCTGGGAATGCCTGGACATTAATCTACACCATTGGGACCAGCAGTTGGCGTAACGGTTATATCGCTGGACTTAACCCGGTGGCTTAAGCTCACGCCGGGGCATGTGTGTGTGCGTGCCCAAGATCCCGGAAGAAGAATGGAGGAGAAGGGATTTTGGTGTGGGGGTGATTTCTCGCTTTCTGTCTCTCTGTCTCTCTTTCTGGTGAGACACAAGCCCTATAGCAGAAACCTCGCCAAAAAAAAAAAAATGACATCATTTACATTGTCTCTAAAAGTGTACTTGCTGGAATTTTTCGGCTTTTGCATAAAGATGGGTGTGCCAACCCTCTCTGAGCTCCTGCTTTTCCTTGTGTGGTGTGTCTTGGGTTAGGTTACCACTTGTCCACAGGACAGTGGCTGGGACACACCTCTCCCTGGAAGATGTGAAGCTGATCACACAGCTCCGCTCATACCCAGTGCTTCTGACACAGGGCTCCTGCTCTGGCAGGCCCTCCTAGGTACCGCGATGAAAGCCACCATGCTCAAGTAAACTGGACTCGGCCGCCCCAGGAAGCACAGCCTTCTCTCTGCAACAGACCAACAGTGGGGCTGAACTGGGAGAATTGTAAAGGCAAGGAGGGAAGCTTGCTTTTCCAGGACTGTCCCTGTTCAATGGGGTCTGCAAGACAGTCGTAGCCCCCCAGAATGTTGCTGAGTGTCTGCTTGAGGGTTACAGCAGTGGTTTTAAATTCCTTGCTGCCTCCTTCTCTCTTGGATTGCTTTTAAAATTTTTCTGGTGGTGCTTGCTTTTACATTCTTCTCTCTTTTCAGAATATTTATAACTACTCCCCTTTCTTTATCATTCTCAGCTCCCCTCCCCACTTCACTCAGCCTGCTTAGCATAGTGTTTCCTTTTGGCCTGCCTTGTTTTACATCTGGATTCCCAGATGATTTATTTTGTCTGTTTCTTGAATTTCCCTCCTCTCCCATTTCTTACAGTTTTTTTTTTTTCCTTCCCCTTTAGCTTCAGTTCTTTTCCCTAAAGCTTTCTTTGGGCCACACGGCTTTTATTCTTGTTCATCTGTTTAAGCAGTGCTGGCAGGAACGAGGCCACAGCCGGCAGGCAGGGCCACGGTGGCAGCAGCGAAGTCCTGGGCGCCTGAAGATTCTCCTCCCAGCCCTCCTGGAAGAGGCGCTTCTGGGGAGAAGGTGGTGGGGACAGTGCTGCTCCTCTCTATGAGGGTTGATGTCTGCCAGGCCCAGGCGGAGGGTCAGGGCAGATGGTGTTTCCTCCAGTGTGTGGCCTGAGCCCCCTTGCTCAGGGGGGCAAAGGAATCCATCCTGGGTGGATGGGTGGGGCACTACCCATGTTTGACCTGAAGGCTGGCGCTTGGGGAGGTGCGCCTGTAGGGTGTGTGTCACTTGCAGAGCTCTGAGCTGCAGGTAAGGGAGAGCATGCAGCCTAGGAGTCTGCCTGGGGAGGGGATAGTTTGAGGAGCTTTGATCCTTGCTCTATGGCCAAAGTTAGCCTGGGCATCTGGAGTTGTCTGTTGGGGAAACAGGCAGTTTTTCCAGTGGAAGTTCTTTCCTTCCCAATGCCCCCACCCCTGACCTTTTAAAAAAAGTTTATTTTCTTCCCTGGGGGAGAGAGGAAGGGAGAAACAAGAGAAGGAAATATGAGAGAGAGAGAGCGAGAGAGAGCGCACTCATCAGGGTCTTCTCGTTGTGATCCGCACCCGGCCTCAGCCAGCCTGGATAACAGGCACGCGCACAGGCAGGGAGGCCCTGGGATGTAAACTGAGGGCCCTCCCATGAGGACCCAGCATCTCAGTGCTGTGTTACCATGAAGCATGGTCCCAGCCAGTGGGCACTGTGGGAGCAGAGGGAAGATGTGAGAGGAGGCTGATCATCGTGCAATGCCTTAAAAGCATGTGGCCCCTGGGGAGCAATACAGACCCCACCTGTGGGAGGCCCTCAGGGTCAGCTCTGGCTCTGATGGAGGCAGATGGCACGTCTCGATGGGTGTGGTGGCAGAGAAATCCTAGAACTTGCAACCGCACCCCTCCTTGTCTGGAGTGGTGGGGGCGGGTGGGAGCATCCCGGGCTCTGCTCCCCAGCTGTCCGAGGCAAATCGACTGGAGTCCATCTGGCTGTCCCCACCGGCCCAGGCTTATTTCCCGTCCTGGGTTGTCATGCTATTGGGCCCTGGCTGAGTCCTGGGAGGCCGCCTCCTCGGCTGGATCGGTACGCTGCTGGGCACAGCTGTGTGAGTCGCATCCTGGGGTAGAGAGGCCCAAGAGTAGTGTGTAGACACCCATCGGGCTGTCTGTCTGCTAGGCCTGTGGTGCTGGGGGCCATGTGCTTCTCTGGCAAGTGCCTCCTTCCCATCTCCACAGGCAAAACTGCTCTCCCTCCAGGCCCATCTGTCTGTCATCATCATCTTCATCAATGTACACTGTTCTCTGCCACTTCAGAAGGGCTGATGAATATATAAATATTTGAGAAAAATCTTTGTTTATATTTTAGAGCTTACTTATATTTTCTAAATCTTTAGCTCTAGAGTCCAACTCTTGGGATCCAGCATGTTTTCCCCTCCCAATTGCCAAAGGGTATGTATGCTCATCAGAGACAGGGAGACAGAGAGAGAGAGGAAGCTCTCCCCAGTGGGGAGCTTTCTGCATCCTGTCGGGATTTGGGGCACACATACAGAGGTGCCAGGCACGTTCTTCAAGCTGCTGGGACTGCCATTCCAACTGTGGTCAATCATGTAAGATCGAGCTCCTTTTTCTTTGGGGCTTTTCCAGGGCCCAATGTCTCTTAAGACCCTAAAACTTCAGGATTACACAGACTCTTACATCTGGGCCCTGTGGACTCAGTTTATGTCTGATTCAGGGCAGGGCCTCCTTCCCCACATGGAAGGCTATACTTAACAGAGGAAATGATTAGGGAGTGGGTGATTAATTTTCTTCTAAGTCTCTCCCTTCAGCTCTGGCAGGAAGCTGGGGGGTCAGGACCAGCATTTAAAAAAATTATTTATTGGGAACCAGCAGTTAGCATAATGGCTATGTCACTGGACTCCCACGTAGTCGACTGTGGTTTGCGTCCCGGACCCAGTGGCTTAAAACTCACGCCGGGCACGTGTGCGCGCGTGCCCAAGATCCCGAGAGGAGAATGGAGGAGAAGGGATTGTGGCATGACCATCCCCCCTGGGGGGTGATTTCTCGCTTTCTGTCTCCATGTCTCTCTCTGTCTGTCTGGCGAGCGCATGTGCCCTATAGCGAAAATCTCTCCAAAAACAAAACAAAACAAAAAAATATTTATTCAATTTTACTTATTATTATTATTTGGAGAGTTTTTTACAATAGGGTGCGTGTGCTCACCAGAGAGAGACAGACAGAGAGACAGTGAGCAAGAAATCACTCCCCAGGGGAATGGCCATGCCACAATCCCTTCTCTTTCATTTTCCTCTTGGGATCTTGGGCATACACTATATGCCCATGTGCCCAAAGTGAGTTTAAGACACCAGGTCGGGGACTCGAACAGTGGCTGACTAGGTGGGAGTCCAGCAACATAGCCATTATGCCAACTGCTGGTCCCCTGCTATTACTATTTTTAAAAATTTTGCTCTAGGACATATGTACTCACTAGAGAGAGACAGAGAAAGAGAAAGAGGGAAAGTGAGAAAGCAAGCCACCAGGTCTGGGACACGAACCATAGTCAGCCACGTGGGAGTCCAGTGCCTTAACTACCATGCCATCTGCTGGTTCCCTTGGACGAGCCTTCTTTGATGTGGGAATTCATGTTGGGGTTGGGACCCCAGAAGCCTCTTGCCCCATCCTTCCTGAGCCACCTCACTCCTAGAGCTGAAGCACAGGCTTCTTAATCTACCATGTCACTGCCTCCTCGTTCCTGCCACCTCCCCCTGCCTTCCCTCTTCCTACGCACCACGTTGTATAAATATTTACACCCCTGGGCTGGCAGGAATCTTTCTCCAGCTGCTTCCCTGGTCTCTGGGAGAGCTTGTTCTCGCACAAAGCAGCTGCAGCAGATCTGGTTGCCTTTGGTCAGACAAGGGCAGGCCCTGGTTTGGGGGCCCACAATCCCCCCAGAGTGAAGGGTGCAGTTGGTGGGAGAAACTCAGCAGTGAAGGTCACAGGGCTATGACAAAGATCCAGCCTCACTCCCTGCTGGCTGTCCATGCAGCCACCCTCCAAGAGCTGTCTGATCCTTACCCTGGCTTGGGAGCTTTCTGTTTCTAGAAGGAACAGCCTCCCCAGAGTGAGGGCTGCTGCACCCGGGGCCTTGCTACAACACAGTGGGCGATAAACCTAAAGCAAACTGGCCAATACTGGGACAAAATGGTTACTTAGTTTATGGGAGAGCACTTTACATAGATCTGCCCTGGAAATGATCCCCCAGTGTAGAGAAGAACCTCCTGGAGAACCTTCATCTTAGGCCTCTTTTCAACTCTTGCCCTAGGCTACTCCTCGTCCAGCCAGTTCCTGTTCAGTCTTCCCAACGAGGGTGGAGAGAATCGGTGCTCCTGCCCTGACTTCTTTGGTGACCTATTAAACAGGAGCTGGCCACGGAACCAACTGGGCTGAGCACTGTGCAAGGTACTGTGTCGTATGCTCATGTAATTGTCTGAGTCTTGTGCCCGGCAGATTTCTTAGGGGTCTGTGTGTGCCTGCTCTTCCTGCCTTCAAGCAGCCACAGCCAAACAGCAGTAAACTCCCAGATACAGAATCCCATCCAGTGGGAACCTCTGAGAGCCAGCCAAGGACTGGACACTGATCTCTCCTACCCCTTGCAGGTGCAGGACCCCTGCCACCACTGCCCCTTCTGTGCCTCAGTTTCCTCCCATCTGCGGTAGGTAATTAACTTATATTCCATAATGCATTCCAAATTTAGCACAAAAACAGGTTTTATAAAAGCAAGCAACATGGTTGTTTCACTTCAAAGCCTTTTCTATGGGGGAAAGGGGAGAGTTTTAGGAGAGGCTGTTTAGGTTTCAGGGACTAACAAGAATGTGTGTTCAGTGCTTTGGGGAGGCTGAGGAGATAGACAAAGCTAATAAGACCTGGATTAAAACCAGGTTAATGGGGCTGGATCCATGGTGCAGCAGGCATGCTCTGCTCAAGAGAAGCCAGACCCCATACGTGACCATGGTTTGAGTCCCTGGCCTGGAGCCTGAAAAATGCAGGGCATGCAAGTGCCAAGGAGAGAAGGACTTGAGGCAGGGGACAGTGGCATGACTAGACCCTGTAGAAGGTACTCAGCCCTCTCTTGTAAGTATATGTGCTTCATCATGAATTTAAAAAAAGAAAAAAGAAAAAAAAATCAAATTAAAACTCCTTAACATTCAAGTAGTGGAGTCACTAGGAGTGGGTGTATGGGGTTGGATAGGGGATTCTGATGGGGACCAGAGACAAAGGCCCCAGTTTCCAGCACTTTCATTTGTGCCAGGAAGAAAGTAAACAGATTCTCTCAGACCCTTTCTGAGAACAGGAGAAAAACTGATGCTGAAGGTGCCAGGGTTGATTATAGAGGAAAGCCCGGCACTGTGCTTGGTATTCAGTAGGTATAGGAGGTGGACCGTCCACTCTCCAGACAGCTCAAGGTGAGGTAGGGGAGGAGTGGGCTGAGCTTAGCCAGTTGGGTGAAGTGCAGGGAGAAAGGTGGAAAACCACAGCTCAGAAGGGATGCAGCTATGAGTTATTCCTGCCCGCCTGCCCCCTTCTGTTTCTATAAGCGGCTGAAATAAATTTAGCGAAACAATTCCACCCGTCTGAGGGCCTAAGGTTTCAGAGCAGTGGGATTCTCTATCCAGAACACCCCTGTGTTTCAAAGTTGAGAGCTTGTTGTTTAAATTCCCTTTAGGAATGGAATGCTCTCAATCTAAAATAATTATTTTACTGCAGTCATCTATTCCTCATAGAAAAATGCTTTGACATAGTAGTTTGCTTGAGAGCTGATCTACAAATGCCTTGCAGCTTAAAATAGTCAACCTTATGGGGCCCATGCCGAGCTGGATCTGTTGGGGTATTTATTGTAAGATTACTCTTCATGATGTCTGTGTATGTTCAGCCAACTCCTTCTGTTGTATGTCAAACAGGACAGTGGTTGTGGCTAAATTAGCACAGAAGAGAAGTACTACATCTTTATGTACCCCATGATTACTTATTGAGGACTTGAGCTGAGAGAAGAGGAGGTCTACTTTCATGAAACATACATCTTGGTAGTAAGGAAGATGTTAAAAAGTGAAATGACTATGAAAAGTGGCAATTAACTTCATACTCAATAGCCAAAGACTGAATTCTTTCCTACTAAGATCACGAAAAAGGAGAGGGCATCTATTCTTGCCATGCCTATTCAACATCATACTGAAAGTTCCAGACAGGCAATAAGGCAAGAAAATGAAAAGCCTTCTTACAATTAAAGTGACTTTTGTAAGATCACAGGGCATAACATCAACACACAAAAGTCAACTATATTTCTAGTAATGAACAATCAGAAACCAAGATTAAGAAAAGAAATTACAAATAATTCCCAAAAAAGTTACTATTAGGTATAAATGCAACAAAACATATATAGTATCTGTATGCTAAAAACTATAAAACATTGACTAAAGAAATCAAAGATGACTTAAATAGACATACCATGTTCATGGATAGAAGATTCAACATAGTAAAGATGTCATTTTCCTCTGAACTGATCTACATATTTGATGCATTTTCAATAAAAATCTCAGCAGATTTCATTTTATAGATATAGAAAAGCTGATACTACTAGGTTGTTAGGAAAGTCATGATGCATTTTTGCTCAGAAAAATATGTCATGACTTTCTTTTTTTTTTTGGAGAGGTTTTTCACTATAGAGCGCGTGCGCTCGCCAGACAGAGAGAGACATAGAGACAGAAAGCGAGAAATCACCCCCCAGGGGGGATGGTCACACTGCAGTCCCTTCTCCTCTGTTCTCCTCTTGGGATTTTGTGCACCCACGCACACGCGCCCGGCGTGAGTTTTAAGCCACCGGGTCCGGGATGCGAACCGCGGTCGACTATGTGGGAGTCCAGCGACATAGCCATTATGCTAACTGCTGGTTCCCATGTCATGACTTTCTTGACAACCTAATAAAATATATATCAATAGGCAAAGAAACTAGAATTTCAAAAAGCAATTTCAAAATGTAAGAAAAAAATTTAGAGGAATTATACTGCCTGATTTTAACCCTTCTATAAAACTACAATAATTAACAGTGTGGTTGGTATTTGATGGGCATATAGATTAGCGGAATAGAATAAACAAACCTATACAAATATGACATTTGATTTTTGGATAAGTATAAAGGCAAATCAATGGAAAAATTACAACAAACAGTGTTGGGATTAGACATCAATAGGCAAAAAGAAAAAAAAAACTCAAACCTCACACCTTATAAAAACTAAATCAAAATGGATCATAGATCTAAATGTAAAACATAAGAGTATTTGATTCTTGGAAGCTGGTTGACTAGGAGGATTCTAGGAAGAGGGTGGGGTAGGAAACACCAGGAATCTGTTTTCCCTCCTAGATAACAATTACACTGGAAGAATCTATCTGATGTAACTATTTTGGAACTCTGGAATCTATTGAAGGCTTGCAACTTCCAAGGGGAGGCTTGGGTGGTATACTATGATTGATTTTGGTCAATTTCAGCTCTTAGCATAGCAGCAGCTACTTATCTTTCACTGTGGCTCTATAGCAAGCAACTGTGCACATGTTCCTGCCACAGTTTACACACAACTTGTGGGAGCTAGGGCAGCCAAAAAAGGACCTGTCTTCCAAATATTAGGGATCTGTGTTCTGATTGCTGATTACTACTACTGATCACAGAGGTGTAGATGATGATGAAGGTGGCCATTGTGGGTATACCTCACACTATTGTTGCAAGTCCCTCTCTCAGCTGAAGTGACTTTCAGGCAGTTTAAAGGGTCAGAGTCCCTTTGTACCTTCTTTTCAGTTCTTTCTCTTTTCTCTTTTGGAAGTCAGATATTAGAGACTAGGACATTCAAAAACAATTTCATATACAGGGAAAATTAGAAAGTGCTTGCATATGTGTA